CTGCTTACCGTAGGTACGAAGGAAAGAGCAAGACTCCGCGGCATCGCAGACTCGCTCGGCTCTCTTGTTTCGCGTACAAGGTATGGACGTATACAATATATATATATAAGCGCTCGGTCGGCTGGGAAATAAGCGAGGGTGGCTTATTCGCGGAAGGAAAGTGGCCCCGTTACAAGTTTCACTGCAGTTTTGCGGGCCGACTTGTACTACAGACGAGAGGGAAAAGAGATGCGGTGGGCTCGGCAGGGAGGGAGAAAACAGCCAGAGACCAAGAACGCGCAATTGAATTTAAATATTCAATTATGCGATGTGTAAATGAAATAGAAGCCTCATGCAAATGGGACTACACGCTAAGGGCTGTTGCAAATTTAAAGGGTTAAATATTTATTAGCAAGGGGGCTTTATGGCCGAGATTTATTGCCGAGAGCTTTCTTATGTACTGTGCCCTCTTTATTCTGTCGTTTGGTTGGATTTTAGCTGCTGAAAACAATTTCTAAGGAAGAAGGTCGCCTTTTCAAATGTACGAATTCTGCTGATTGTAAATGTATATAAGTATTGTGGATAAAATCAACGAGCATGCGAAATTCAATGGAACGAGTCGATTGTCACCGCTGCCGAGCCGTCCTCTTGTGTTGATGCGATCGACCATTTTCTTTATGGTTTGCAGCGTTTTGATATTCTTCACCACCATCCAGTAATAGTTGCAAAATCGTAATTATTTTCTAGAGAATTTTTTAAAAAGGAACGTACTGGCATGCTTTTTTTCGTGTAGTCACCCACGCAGACAAAATTTTGCGAGAAAATCATGGAAAATATTTACATCCACAAAATAGTCACTGACAATGTTATCTGTCATACAATTACATTATGAGTTACAAAAAACATTTCGTTTTTAATTTTTAATCAAAAGAAGTATGCAATTATACTTTCTGTAATTAAAAATTTTTAGAGTAAATAAGTGATTTAATTTTTTTTATTTCAATAAAAAAACGTCTTAGGTAATACATTAGTTTAATTACAAGTTATAAATACAATTAACGTGAAATTATACTTGTTTCACAAAAAAAATTTATAAGTTTTTTTTTTTTTTTTTATAAAATTCCACTGTTAACAACAAACTTAAAAATTTTTTAATATTTATGTTTAAGTTATTTTTATAAATGTAAGATTTAATAAACCTGTCAAGTAATCTACCGTTTAATAAATGTAGTTGTAACTTGTTCATGCAGAAATCAAGTATGTTAACAAAATTTCTATATATATTTTTGAAAGCTTTAGCCACAATTGTGGCAAATAAATATACCATGAATTTTCTTTCAAAAATTCTTAGGCGTGGGCAAAAAAAAATAATCTCGATTTTATACTAAAAATATTATGTATAAGAGAGTGAGAACGCAGTTAAATAAATACTCATTGGAATTTCGTTTAACTCAACAAGGCTAACATTTATTCGGTGATGATTTTTTTCTGTTGATTATACTTGACAGTTTNACTTGTTCATGCAGAAATCAAGTATGTTAACAAAATTTCTATATATATTTTTGAAAGCTTTAGCCACAATTGTGGCAAATAAATATACCATGAATTTTCTTTCAAAAATTCTTAGGCGTGGGCAAAAAAAAATAATCTCGATTTTATACTAAAAATATGATGTATAAGATAGTGAGAACGCAGTTAAATAAAAATTTATTAAAATTTCGTTTAACTCAACAAGGCTAACATTTATTCATAATGAAAATACGTTGATTGAGACAGTAGTTTAAACAGTATTCGTTATCGGTAATATATTATATCGCTATAAATCTAGTCGTATACAATGTCTGGGTGAGTTGTTTATTGTTTCTTTTTTTTTTCTTGCTTTCCTTTTTTATTTTCTTATCGTTTTCGTATTTATTATCTTTTGTTTTCAGCCTTAAGTCTACATCGAAAAAATTGATTAACTTTTCCCATTCTCATTCTTAATATCATGTTTCTGTTCTTTTTTTTCTTTAAATTTTCTTTTTTTTAATATATTATATATTTATGTATACCACACGTACAATGACAATGCCTGTCGTTAAGAAAACTCATGCCGCTGTCAGTGCGCATGTTAATCCGCATAAAGAGACTTGATGATTCATATTAGATATTATATTTAGTGTACATATACACGCAATTTTATATATTTATATACGTACACCAAAACTTCCTAGACTTTCGCTTAATGCTCGCTGCGTGGCACAGATCAAATTGCAACCGCGAGTACTCGCGTCGATTTTTTAAACTTTTTTTTGTTATTTTTTATTATTTTTTCTAATTTTTTAATTTATTGCGTCAAGACGATGATGAAAAAAAATTACATCTGCAACAGGAAAAAAAAAACAAGACACAAGTACTCGCGTATAAAACTTGCATCTGCTGTTATTTATATATACATGCTCATATTTATATACATTGTATGTAAAATCCGTCGACCTGATATCTGTACAGTAATATAGAAAAAAGATTGCATAGTAGGAACGCGACGAGAAAAGAAGTAAACATAATTTTAATGTATCTTGTCAATGTATTACGTGTATCAATTTATAACAAATGCAAACAAACAATCACTAATCATATACATGAACAAGAAGAAACATATTTAAGAAATTACCTAATGTATTATAATAATAAATTCAACATGACATCAACAAATGCATCTTCCGACGGGTATCTGCTATATATAGCTATCGTATAGACTCTCGTATACGCGTTTTCGTGTAAAGTAGACGTCTTTGTTATTTTCAAATTTTCACTCGCTTACAAATCTAATTTTTCATTTTGCTAAGTACCCGATTGAATATCAATTTAAAGAAAAATTAATAATTTACTCTTCAAAAACAAAAAAAAAACATCCAACATCTACTTTATATAATATATAGTATAACTATAAGACGAACAAGATCGTCCATTCGACGTTAAAAAATAGGAAAAAAAAAAAAAGAAAATTAATAATAAAATATAGTTTGAGTGACGAGACGAGCGAACGGACGATCGATGACAAGAGCAAAAAAAACGAACAAACATTTAATAAACGTGGCATAATCAACTCTTCAACATCTCGTTGTCTTTATTCATCACACCCAATCGCGATATAAATTTTAATCAGCTCCGACAACGTTTTAATTAAGTACAGTCTTTGTGCGCCATCACTGCGCCCCCGCTGCAATGCAAACACTATGGCACTAAGTATTCACGTGATTACGCTAATGTACCTATCCGTCCATCTCGCGACTCGAACGTGAAGTATATCCATGCATGCATTTAATGCACATCGTGTTCAAGAAGGAGGAGATAAAGAAAAACAAAAAAAGTAAAAGAAAAAGCATTTTGAGGATCAAAAAGACGAATGAATCTCGTTCGCGCCTACAGCCACATTAAATGCAACGCACAAGTCCTCTCGAGATAAATAAATGAGAAGCGTTTCTACCCACGCGCGCGCCTCGTTCTCGGCGTGTTTTCGTCGTCTCTCCTCGAAAGAAAGACACAGACTTGCCGTTGCATTTATAAAGAATAATAATAAAAAAAAAAAAGGTTAAAAAAACCATCTCGCAAATACAAACTTAACATATATATAATAAAAAAAGAGCTTAATAGATCGACTTCGTTATCATTTTTTTTGTTTGATTTTTTTCTTCGTCTATTTCTATTTCTTTCAATACTCTCTCGCTTCTTCTCAAAAAACATCGAATTATTCACATGTCACATGTAAGTGTCATCATCCACGACTGAAAACTTCTTTCTTTCTCTTAATCACACTCTCGCACAAAAACAATTTCTCATAGAGACAAAATAAGAGTCTTTTCTTAAAAAAAAAATGCATAGTAAGCGTTATTATCGACATATCTCAATCAGTATCGTAATAATATAGTAATAAAATGAAACACATTTACAAACGATTTGCTCGCCTCGTGATCTGATTGCCTTTTATTACCACGTATAGGTATGATAAACATACGTCCTATTGAAAACATGCCTCACCAGATGTGGGGGTTCGGGGGGATGCGGCTAATTTGTTTGACAATCTGGTGAAAGCATTGACAGGCCGAGAAAATGTCATTCTCGGCCCCTAGGTCCGGCACTCGTAACTAGGGTTCCGACCTGCAGGTGCCAAGATCCACCCACCAAACTCCGTACTTATTTATCCCTGTCTCTTCAAAAGCTCATAAATATCAGCGAAAGCGATTTTGTTCTCTCTCTCTTTTTTCTCCTTCTCGAGGAAAAAGAACAACGTATCGCTTTCGCGCTCAATAGCTCGGATGCCGTTTCCATAATTCATTCAAGTGTAGTCGTGTGTGTGTGTGTATGGATGCGCATACGTGTATACATGTACTTGTGAATGCAGCCTCCTTTGGGTGACCCTCGAGAGCACCCCTTTCTCCAGCTCTCTTTATTCTCCTGCGGGTTTTTTTCTTTTTTTTCATTTTACGTCAAAGCGTTACACTGTCGCTCCTACCTGTTGTACGCACAGGCATGGCAATATGAATTTATTTTATTTATCATTTCTCTTTTTTTTATTCAGCGGAGCGTACCAGTGTATACGCATGCGTATATTTTTACCCTCCTCGATCTACACGTAGTTTTACATGCAAGGTTCTCACATGAAGGTATAAGAGAACTGTATATATGTATATGCTTGCATGTCTGGCGTGTAAGAGCAGTGGTGGTAAGTTGTGTGTCTTTACGAGACGAGTTGTACTCGTTCGTGTGTCAAGGTGTGTTTTGATTTATCGGGGAGGGTACATATATACGTGCATGTGTTTTGTGTACGTGCACCAGTTTATACATCTCACGACGGGGGGAACGACTCTTGCTGCTGCTTATACTGCTACTGCACACAAGCAGCCGAGCGCCCCAAAGGAGGCAGCATTTTTTTTTTTTTTTTTTTTTTGTAGGCTTGGCATCCGAGTTTTTTTCTGCTTCGTCATGACACGTAATGTAGATTTTTGTTCACTCGGAAGCAATAGTTATTGATTTATTGATTTTTTTTTTTTTTTTTTTTTTTTTGGTAAGACATAAATGGGGTAAGTACGGGGCTTGGGGGGTGGATCTCGCGCGCCCTGCCGGCCAGGACTTTGTACCTCACACAACTCCCTAGTTACGAGTACCGTGACCTAGTGTTTTTAACACGAAGGATTATCAAGTTTTGCGCTGAACAAAACTGTTTTTTAGAATTTAACAAAAGAAAACATTGATAAATTGTCATTTGCTTATTTAATTTGGCAGTTTCCTCTCTCTCTTATACATGTTAGTCATTTCTCTCAATTAATAAACGCAAATTGATAATAATCATCCCGATACCGAGTACATGATAATAGTGCGCATGTCAGCACGTTACTTTTTATTCCTCTCTCTTTCTCTCTTTCTTTCGCTAAAAAAAAAAAAAAAAAAATTTCTCTCATTCGAGAATGAAAAAATTCGTGTTGTCTAGCGTGTGTTTAATGAAGAATACAAGCGTTTTTACGATTACGGCAGACCGCACACAATTCCCTTAACTTTCCTTTCTCTCGCGTTTCTCTCGACCTAGCGCACGACGATGTATCGAACTAACCATTAGTATTTTTTTAAATTATTATTATTCAAAAAACGCGACGACGACGGCACTGATGAGGATGACAGCCACGTGACGCAGACGCTTAATATACTTTTTCATATTCAATGGAAAACTCGTCAAGTTACGTATATAATTCTCAAGCACCTATTATTTTCTTGATTCTCTCTCTTTTTTTTTTTTTATTTTTTTATTTTTTTTTTGTTCATTGTTATGGTAACCTAATCACTAACAATTTAAAAACCATCAGAGCTTAAAAATCTCATACACATGAGTGTTTCTCGATCGCGCCGGAAAAAGCCGCAATACGCGTTCTGATGCTTATTCTCATCCCGTATACATAATATATATATATATTTTCTTTTAAAAATAGACACAAGTTTACTTTGTGACATTATACTTATGAATTAATTACGTATATCATTGATCACTATAAAGATTCGACGACGACGAATTATCATTATTATTATTACTTTTCGTTCGACGTTTTCTTTTGTTTTTTTCATCCCGAGTGAAAGAGACACGCGCGCACGCACGAAGCGATTCAACGGCATCACTCAACTTTTCCGAGTACAGTGTCTTGTTAATGAAAGTAAAGTATGACCGTAAACCGTGACACGAGTACGTCGATTACTGTCCGCTCTCGGGGTTTGCGTCACAATTGCGTCCGATAATGTAAATGAGGATACAATCACGAGGAACGTTGAGATCCGACGTATACTCTATTTTACGTATATCACGTTTGCTTGCTGCGCTATTACCGCGTCTTTGCTCTCGACCGACAATAGCCTAAATTTTTGTAATTGGCGAGAAAATAATGGACCTGCTCTTTGAAGAAATTCGAGTGAAATCTCCGATTCCGATAGACGTTCTCTTTTTCGTTTTCACCTCCTTCACTCTCAAGTGAGAAGATCTCGTGGTACAGTTTTTTTCAGCATTTTCATATTTATCGAAATTTATTAATGAAAAAAAAAGCATCGGGAACCACTCGCATGCGCGTTCCAGTGAACACGAAGAAGGATCGTCTATTGAGAGAACAAAGCGTGCAGACTTGCGGGGATACAGAGGAGCAATGAAACAATAGTCAACAATCGGATACAACTGTACAAATTAGCATACGAAGATGAAAAAGAAAATAGTATAGTACAGCACATGAAAGCAGTGAACACATACTGAAACAGGATTACAGAAAAAAAAAAAAAAAAAAAAAATTGAAAAATCAACAGAGAAGTGTAAGTCTAGAGGTGACAAGGTAACAGTGCAACATTGATAAGTACTTGATACAGGAACATTATCATCGAAATTCACGAGCGAGAGTGTATATATTATATTCGAGTCATCGAAAGAATACTTTGATTAAATAAAAATATGTACATTTTAATTACCTCCACGCGGTAGTAGCGATCACATGTAAGATGACGCAGAACAAAGATGATAAAGAGTTGTATTAAAAAGAAAGTTTTCTAACTAAGAAAATTCAAGTCTCTAAAACAACAATATAACAATGATGTTAAGTTTCCATGGCTCCATACTGTGGTATACAGTAGCAGATTTGAATGTTCTTAACCGTATCTGAGATAATACATTGTTAATCGAGGCTTCGAAAAACGAGACAACGATCAGGCCTCCGATAAAAGAGACAAACAAACAATTTGAACACCATCGCAATCGAGATAACCAAGACAAGTATACAAACCAACAGAGACAGTGTAGATGAGGAAATAAGTATACAAGAGACTAGGATGCATCCGTCCCGCGTGTCTGCGCGCCCAAGTCTATCATCCCCCCCCCTAAAAAAATAATTCGAAACGAGAGTATAACAAAAATATCGAAGTGGACGAGCAACGGTGCAAAAGCCGATCCTCTGCAGACGTGAGCTCGAGCAATGAACAAAGTAAAAGAGCAACGGATAATAGATAATTCATGAGCAAAGTCACGTTGCGCGAAACGACGAATGAAAAGCGCGAAATGCGAGCGGCAGCGGCGATTACGAACACGGATAGATGGCCGAGTGATAGGCGGCGAGGGCGGCGTGCGCGTGCGCAGGTGGCGCGGACGCGGCGACCGCGTGCGGCGTGCTCGCCATCGCGGCTGCCATCATCATCTGTTGGTGCGAACGCTTTAGGGAGTTGGGAGTTGTGGCGGCGCTACTCGGGGACGTAACAACGGTGGTGGTGGTGTTATTGTTGTTGCTATGATTATTATTATTATTGTTGTTGTTATTGTTGTTGCTGCTATTATTATTATTATTATTATTGTTGTTGATATTATTGCTATGAGCCAGGCTTGGGCCGTTTTGCTGTGGCGAATGAGGGGTAGTGGGGGTAACTGGGTGTGCTAAGACAGACGATGTCTGTTGTTGCTGTTGCTGCTGCTGATGGTGGTGGTGGTGATGGTGGTGGTGATGGCTGTCCTGGTGTTGTGCCTGCAATTGCAGGGGACTCGCTTGGCTGGCTGCGGCATGGCTATGGTGGCTATGGTGACTGTGGTGATGGTGGGGGGTAATCGCTTCGTGCGGATAATAAGACGAGGAAGTGGGTGAGGTACTCACGACGTCCGGCGTGCTGGCCCCGTCGGTGTGGCTGGTGCTGTCTGCGGTGCTACGTGGTCCGCCGTCCAGGCCGTTACCCAACTCGGGTGGCTTCGTACTCTCTCTGTCGTCGATCACCAGGTCTATCGGCATTTTGCCCTTTAGACAGCTTATGTATCGGTGGCAGAAGTTGTCGCAGAGCTCGTGCACCTGTCAACACAAATCGATTATCCGTTAATCAACTTGAAAAATTTATTTTTTTATTTATGTATTTATTTTTTTTTTTCAATTGTATTATGCAGTAAAAGTGTAAGAAAAAACAAAAAAAAAATACATTGTGAGCTATTTGAAATATAAGATATGTATGACTTTGTGATTATACGTGGCGTGTGTACTTGGGGGGGTATACGCCATATTTTGCACAGGACCACCGGTATAAAAGAGACGTTCCGCATGAAAGTTGCATGAGGCCACGCGAAATGACAAATAATCAATATTTATCGAGCCATTCGTTACTCCCGAGTCAGCCTCCGTGCGAATGAATTGGCAGGCATTTTTTAGCAACAGAAGAGCGTAACGAGTATATTCCGCGGCATGTCTTTCTTTCTCTCTTCGAATCGTCTTTGCTGCTGTTTCTTTTATCGCGGTACACGCGGAATTTTTACGAGCGACGGCTGCTTTTTACCTCGGGACTTCTTGTTCCTTGCTCTCGTACGCTCAACTACTACAACTGCGACTACCACTACTTTGGGCCCGATTGTGTCGCAGGGCCTTTTTGGGGGCCGTCGTCGTCGGTCCGCTTCTGCCGCTCGCGCCGAATCGACGCAAAAAATCCAGAAGAGCGAGATCAGTCGCAGGAAGGAAGAAAAAAAAGAAGGAGGATGCCATACTCCGCGACTGCCGTGGCAGCATCAGGAGCAGCATCAAAGAAGGGACGAGAGCAGAGGGAGGAGCAGGAGAGATGAGCTGGGCAGAGAAGAGGAGGGAGAGGAGGTCTGACCGGTGTCCAGCCGACCAGAATGTTATGTATGCAAATGAGGCCTGACAGCCACACACACTCATGTGTATATACGTACACACATGTATGATACCAGCCCGTTCTTTTCCCTTGCGCGAGCGAGCCCGCCCTTGCCTCGGACCAGTTCCTTCGCCCTCTCTTTTTTTTCCCTTCCTTAGCTCGTTTTTTAACTTTCTTTCTGGCTTTCTCGCTCCTTCTTTCTCTGCGCCACATAGGCATTGCCCTCCCCCCGACTCCCCCTCTCCTTCATATCCATCCCATATGGAAAGCGACTTTACGTGCGACTCTCTCTCTCTCTCTCTCTCTCTCTCTCTTGGGTGTACGTATCGGCTTAGAAAAAAAAAAAAAAAAAAAAAAAAAAAAAAATCTTCAACTTGTTATATGTAAATCGACGAGCGAGGAGAGCCGGGAGTTGTTATGATCGCGTCCTCCTTTATTCCTTCCCTTCCTCCCATCCCCGGTACATATACTTCTTCTCCACGCGTCTTCTCTCTTCATCCTCCGTATATATACTCGTCCTGCTCGCGCGTATATGCGCTCTCATGTGTATTCTCACAGAAAACATATACACGTGAATATAATAATATACACACAAAGACAACGAAAGAGCCAGCTACCGCTTTGTGAGCCTATACGTGTACACATATCCCTCCGCATCTCCCCATGGATATTTACATGCAATAGGGAAACCGAGTCCAGCAAATCTCTCGATCGCCGGTCAATAACGTCGATCGCGCTCCGTTTGTTGTTCTCCGCACGTATAAATACATACTTCCCTTTGGTTTGGTTACACGTATACGTGTGTGTGCGTGTGGGGCTGCAAGTTGTGTATATTTGCAAGGCATCGACGGAGGAGAGCAGGAGAACTGCCGTCGAGGGAGAATAATTGCGCATGATGTCGCAAGACCTGCGAAGCGTATCACATATGTATTATACCCTCGATGTATGGGATTCAGAGTCGATGTGCCGTTTTTACGCTTAGGTGGGTATATCCATGGCAATACTTGGCGCGTTTCTATAGATAAACATCTTTTGCCTGTGCATATGTATGGCATCGTATCGGCTACATTTTGTGCTTTATGGTCTCTTTAAGAAGGTGCGCATTTCACAAGCGAGCCTGGTCCTGGCGAAGGATCTCTCCCTTCAATTCTCGAGTGATTTGAGCTCATGATTTGTGACAAGTGGACACCAAACCTAGTTGGATCTATTGTGACTTGCTCGCTCTACCGCTATAGGCGTTACACCATTCCAAAGATAACAAAAGCTCGAAGGTCATGCTCGTATCAATGGGTGATCCTCGAGATAAAACCTGGAAGCAGGCAGTATCATGGATACAAAACGATAAAGAAGAGGATTTTTCAGAGGTGATGAAAGAGGTCAAAGACCAACGGAAGTGACAATATTCCCGAAAAGTCATCGCTGGGACCGAAGAAGGAAAAAAAAATTGAAGAAGTACAGAAAGGGATCGCAACGATATAGAGTACTGCTTTCAGATGGGCAAAGTCATCGGAGTACATTTGCACTAGATTGGATTTAAATAAAAAAATCCACGTGCACGGAAAAGAAGAATGACTTGGGTCGAACGAGTTCGTTACTTCCGCTCGAGTGTGAAGCGAACTGTCGCAGTGACCCTTTTGCCAAGTTGGAGGAGGAGTAACGACAGTGGGACTTTCGTTTGGGGGTCCAAAGCCACCGCTGCCACTGCGAGTAATACAATGCAGCGCGAACAACTAGACCCTAGTTCGCAACGCTGCCGAAAAAGCAGAACAGAAAACAACGCAAGAGCAGCAGTGGTGGCAATAGGAGCCGAGCAAAGGACCACAAGCCGAACTGGTTAAAATTGGATACGCCGAGAGGGAGAAAAGGAGTAGCACCGAAACGCCGACCGATAGCCGGTAAAGCTTCCTTGGAAGTACCTAACGAGCGAAATAGATCCTATAACGACGTTTCGATTGCACAAAAAAAAAAAAAAGAAAAGAGTCCACGAGGGTACAAATATATTTATGATTCCTTTCGTATGGGTATCTATATGTTGTTATTTTAATAAATCATCGCCGAGCCATCTGTCTAAATGAAACGCCTCGAACCTTCTAATCAATTAGCGTAATTGTCCGGAAAGTTAAACGACGCATTTTCAAAATGAAAAAAAAAAAAGGTCCTCTCGTAGTCCCGAGGGTGAACACTGAAATAAATCTAAGCCCAGCAAAGAGAGAGAGAGAAAGAGCCCATTGACTCGGAGCTGCCAAAAAGCGCGTATACGCTGTTCCGCACAGTACACACGTAGGTATAGAGAAGAGATAGTGGCCTGTACACCACAGTCAAGGGTGGGTGGCGTGTGTATTATCCACGAGGTCGGTGGGTGAGGAGGAGGAAGTCATTGATCAAGCACGCAAAGTCCCGAGGGATCGGTTTCGCTTCCGGGAATCCGATCGACTTTTCAGCCCCTCCCGGCCCTGCTCCTCGTATCACGTTCCGCTGAGCAAGCTCGAGTTGCAGAAAATGCCCATGTACGCCCCTAGCTCTTCCGCAGCCGGAGTCACATCTCAGGAATCACGAGAAAGTCGACTGCTCGTCACCGCCGAGGGCGAAACTCGTGACGATGAGTCAAGCTGGGCACGGAACAACTTATGGCTGGCACCCGGTTCGCTATGCGTACGCATAGTTACACGGGTAGAGTCATTCAACACCTCTGCACCCCTGCGTACTTCACCGAGCCAGTTCTTGACACGTGATCCAGAGACACAGGCAGCACCGGTGACCCGAATATATAAAGCTCTGCTCGTGCATATCACACCAACTAGGAAGCGCGAAATAAAAGTAAAGGGGCGAAAATCCGAGGAAAGGGGGAGAGAGAGAGGGAGCCGATTTATGATGCTGTGCTCTTCGACAGGATGTAGTTGGCGAGAATAGTGTCCCATCAGGCTGCGACACACACTCACCAGCGAGCCAAAGAGAGAAAAAGGCGACGATCTCGCGGGTAACTGGATACACGTCGAGAGAGGGGAGTGTTGCTGGCGAGGGCCAAAAATTTCTCAAGGTCGCACCCAGAGAGAATCACACGTGGGGAGGCTACACATATATACACATGCCTAAGCACAGCCAGATCTGTCTCTTTTTCTCACTCTGCGGGCGGATGCTACAGCTGTTGTGGATGCCACGCGGAGGATGGAAAAAACATCGTGAAACGAGAGCTACGGCATCGGTTGGCCAGATTGACTTACTGCGCTTGCAGTGACCAAAATATGTGTACGAGGAGGAGAAGGAGCGTGTGGGTTTAAGGCTTGTCTTTTTGGACACCTGTACCCCTGCTGCCACACGGCCCGACCGTCTTCTTATTAGACGATGCCCGTGAAACCAATACGTTTCGCTTGCATCAATGGTATCATGGTAGCGGAGCGTGTTTTTTTTTTTTTTTTGTGTTGAGCACCGACATTTTTCGAAAATCATTTGGCGCATAAAGGCAGAGGGGAGGGTGTACGTTGGTGCACCACGTGTGCTCGTTAAATATCCAACTCTCACGTGTATGATACTCATGTGTGTGTGTGTGCAGCGGAGCACTTCTTTGAATTCGCGAGCGTAAAAGACGCTTTCCAGGAGATTAAAATAAAAAAAAAAGAAGAAAAGGGGGGAGGGTCGGGCCACGACGACACTTCCTGAGCCAGTGTCGCGTGTAACTCGAGATTATTCCCATTTTATGGCCGATTTAACAAGCAAGAGGGGTAGTAGCGTCACCGGAGTTTCCCCCGGCACTCTCTGTACGTGTATCGTGTATCGTGTGCGGGGCATGCGAAGTGCAAGTAGCCGTGGGTTCATATACACACACGTATATATATTTAGCCGAGCGAGTTGAGCCCGTCTTGTAATGTATGTTCCGAGAATAACGAGACACAGCCCCGTTACGTGGCGCGGAAGAAGTATGTAAGCACTCGAAGCAACGCTCGGAGGGTCCCTTTTTTTTCGTACCAATGCCAACGTGGAGAGGAAAATATCATCGAACGTCCCGAAAAGCTCGCGTCATTTGCCCTATGTCGAGAGAATGGCGCAGTTTAGAGAGACGAGAAGGAGGAGTTTTAGCTCCTCTCCCTGTACACCCTCCTGTACCGTGCGATTTGCTTTCTAAAACCTGTCTCGCCCCATTCGCGGTACCCACCCCTCTGGCCATGCCCTTAGAAATTGACCCAAAATTTTCGCAAGCTACAACCAAAGCTCGCGTTTCCCGCGCAAACTATCGGATCCTCATCCCCCTCTTATTTCCACCCTTCGAATTCGTACACGGTCGTATACGAGCGTCTCTCGAGGAAGAACGAGGACCGAGAGAGAGAAAGAAAAGGGAGCACCCCATTTCCGAGGACAATGGGCCTCTCCTTCCAAGCTCGATGTAATATAAAGGTATCGGTGCTGGCGCATATATACATGCACGTACGACACTCCGGGGTGGTTTTCCCTCTCGTCGAGGTTAAAGTATCTCTCGTCGCCGTTTGCCTTTCAAAACGATCGTTGCCCCCCCGCTTGGCTTCGGCTGCGCACCCTTGCGAACCGCAACGTTACATCCGGGTGTCTCTGGTAATTGAATCGCAGTAGGTAGGTATCTACACAATGACCGGAGAAGCACTAATTTTACGCACAGTTCCGTCAACTTTTTCGTGAAAAATCCGTGCGCAAACCAGGACAAGTGTATAACGCTGACAGCACTCCATGTATATGTAGCTTTGTCGAGTACACACAATGTTGTTGAGCAAACATCGGAGCACATTACATCTCGCGTGATGAATCACCGGCACTCGATGTGTTAACAACTACTATTAATTTCTCCGGTGAATAAATCATCCAAAACGCAATACACACGAGCACTTGCATAAATTCTCGAATGATAATCGAAGAGAGAGAGGGGGAGGGTGTTCTTGATAAATCTATGTGCGTCGCACCCGTTTGTTTCCAAGGCAGGCGTTGATTGCGCGGTACACAATTAAGACAGCGGCGATCGAGACGTCAGCTCGATAATGGGAAATGATCGTCCACGATAAGAGGAAAGGAGGACACTTTTGGGCCGTATTGCTTGAACGCAGTACGGCGCGAAGTGGATGCAAACGACAGGGGTGACTCTAACGAGATCGGGCCCCAAGAGCGCTTAGAGAACCAGTTTGTTGCGCTGCACCAGTGTCCTGCCCGTAAGAAATTTACTACTCAAGGAGAAGTCGGTGCACCACATACCTCCAACAGGAGACCCGCGGATCTTCCGAACTCGCCCTCGACGAGTCAAGGCTCCGCGCGTGCATTTATGTATACACAAGAGGAGAGGAGAGACTCCCCCGAGAGAGCCCCGCGTAATTATGCTAATGCGTGCGATCGGCGTAACCGGCGGCCGTGTATGTATGCGTGGGCACATCAGCAAAGGAGCCTGGACTCTCAGGTATTCGTGGAATCTCGGCTGATGCTAACGTGGCTGTTGTCCTTACGGTGAGAACGACGGACGCATCGAGGGACGCTTTTCATCTTCATTACCGCGCCGCGCTCCCCCGATCGCGCGGCTGTCGTTATACTAAACGTATACCTGCGTACCTGTATACACATACCTACGAGCAGATGCACCAAAGGAACAACGAGAGAGAGAGAGAGGCTCGCTTTGCTCTTGCCGTTCGACCACTGCTTTGCATAGCCCATCAATTTAGACATTGTAACGAGGGGACGTGTACAGTCGACCGATGTGCACATACCTATAGGCTGCGCTTGCGCGTTGTTTTTAATACTAAATAAAAAACCACTACAAGTCTCGCATACGTTTTCAGAGTTTAATCAGTTAATTTGGGGAAATTTGTAATACCTATTGTCTATCGATGAATAAATAAATAAAATAAAAAAAAAACAAAAGGTAGACCCATTCGAAAGCATCAATGAGAAATCAGCATAACTCGGGGGTAGGCCTGTTTGCATGTGGCCACAGCCGGCGGAGCGCGCATTTTAGGGTCAGTGGAGCTCGTGCCGCTTCTATTATCGACTCGGTCGCCAGAGTCGGGAATAGAAAAGATGGCCGCTGCACTCGAAATATAAATCGTCCCGAATAGCCGCAGCTTGCACGTTTAAGTATACATATACACATACGTAGAAGCGCTTGCGATGCGTACAGATACACACGCAGCCTCGAGCCGCGGAACACTTGATGCACAGGTGCTGCGTTGCATAAAATGCGGAGGGAAAAAAAGGAGGGGCAGAAACGAGAGAGGCGAGGCTCGCAGGGATGGTTAAATTCTCGCCCGGAGGGCAGGCGGGTATATTATAGGTTGCGTCGGGGAGGGCCTCCGTAATCGGTCCGCAAATGAGGAAAATTGCTATTAAATTGCACGACGCGTCCCGAGAGAAGGAGCGGGTGCATATAGGACGCCGAGGGGCCTTCCAACCTACTCGCCCATTGGCTGCCGCCATCGTTTCGATGGAAATGCGATGGATGTCTGCCATTTCTTACACGATAAATTGCGCCACAACCTTGCCCAATCTTATTTTTACCGAATTATGAAAAATTACCACCAGATCGTTGTGTGATAATGAAAAAAATTTAGAGCGACTTTCATAGCTCTACGTTAGCTCGCGCGAGTCTTACCTATACACCCCAGTCTCTGTATCTCGGGCCGTGAAAAATACCCGTGAAAAACACACGGGGAGAAAGGAATACACCTCTCGCGCGAGTTCGAGCTAGAAAACACAGGCTACGGGCAATTTCCTCGCTGGTTCTCGGCCGCCCATCATCGGACAGCTAAATCACCGCGCTCTCGGATATCTGCACTCGCGGACCCGACCATCGAGCTCGTCGGGCCTAAAAAGGACAGCCATGCAGGCGCCGAGTCGGGGAAAAGACAAATTTTCCCCCTACCTTCTCTCCGAGAGCTTTCACTACAATTACGGAAAATTGCCCGCGAGAGTCATAATAACCCGTGTATATACCGAGTCGTCGTCGTTTCCCAGGTGTAAAATCTGATCCTCGCCGTGTGTACAACACCCGAGGTTGTTTTTGTTGCCCACCACGGCGAGTGACCCGCTCTACGCGGCGATTATCCCCCGACGCGATCGAGGAGTTTCTCCTTTTTGAGCCGAGGAAAAGGCTGCGCTGATTTTTACGGTGAAAAATAATATGTATATGTATGCTGTACATATAATGTACGTGCTTACCTTTTCAAGCTCGAGGAGGTGAAACCGGAGTACTTGGATCGCTTGAACCATCTGGAACAAAAAAAACGAAAGCATTGAATTCACAGAAATATCATTTGCATTTCACAATATGATTAATGTTAACTGCAACTAAAAACCTATAGGTGCGCGATAATTATGATGAAAATTGCAAATCACGAAACCAGTGATATTTTTTAAAACAATTGTATATACACACTCGTAGCGCGAGCAGGTTTATTTTATAACGTGTCGCCTCGTAAATCTTTGCCAGGTACTCGTCATTTCGCGCTGTAGGCGACACTGGGCTCCCACAGAACCGCGGGCGAGTTGTTCGTTGGGTCGCGTTGCCGTGAAAGGCGCTCGTCATTATTTTAATTAATGAGCCAAACTCTTTCCCCTGCCCTTATCTCTCGCTGAATACACTCGCACGCACGGCAGCCGCGTCCTCTCGCGATCAATTAAACGCATAAAAGGAAGGAGAAAACGATAAGCAAGCAAGGACGAGTATTTTACGCCGTGTCCGTACACGGGATCTTTCTCTTTCGCGGCTTTGATCGATTCGCACCGCTTTGGAAGGGACGTGGTGGGAAGTTGTCTCTCGCCGCGTGATGGCTTGTTTGCTACTTTCAACCGTAGTATACTGTGCTCGGTCTGTATACGTTGGACTGAAACTTTATTGGCAATTTTATTGCTCAATTACGGGAGACAAGAGGTGCTGTATACTTGCTGCCCCTGATATTAAACTCTTTTCCTTCTCTTTTCTTTTATTATTATTTTACTTCTGATCAGAGTCGTACGGAGGGTAGCATAAGTAAGCACTACAATGGTCAATTTTTAATTAATCAACTCTGTATTTGTGCTATGCTGATTGTTACTTTGCACTTTGATAATTAGATTATACAGAGATTCGCGTGAATTGATTTTCTTCGCACTTTTTTTTTACTGCACAAAAGCGAGTCCGTAAAAATTGTAGACAAACACTGGTGGTAAATTTATTGGTAGTACGAGTAAAAATATATCTTTGGAGCCAACGAAATATTAACTTGTTGAGAGTAAAGATGTACTCTTGGACGCCAAAAAAAAAAAAAAAAACTCCCGG